AAGTGCCCTGCCATTTTACTCATGGTAGCCTGAAACTCCCTTTATATGTACTTTCTATTCTCTATGACATAACTACTACCTTAAGAAGAGCAGTGTCACTAAGATCTTTGTTTTTTTGAGGGGAATGCACTTCTGACATCAGCCACAATCATCCATGTGTCTGGAAAAGTGTATTTAGAGCCTACTATATATAACCAACCATCTACAGGTGATTTTCTAGTTCTGGGTTTGAGCCAAGCAGTTGGAAAGTGTCATTTTAAGTTTATGAAATCACTTAGGGGAAAGATATGTCATGTTCATGAATGAGAAAGCTCAGTATCAGGAAAGAAATTTCACCCAAGCTCATTGTGAATCAAAAGCACATTCAAAATTGCAGCTAACATTTGTCACTCTGGTACACACACCTGTAATTTCACCGTTCCAGAGACTGAGGCAGGATATCATGAGTTTGAGGGCAGTTTGAAGTGTCTCAACAAAACAAAACTATAGCAAAAATTTCAGGAAATGGACAAGGTATTTCTAAAATTGATATCAAAATAAATAGGATCTAAAATGGAGCACACTTGAAAAATAAAAAAAATAGAAGATTCAAACTATCTGAATGTAAGACTTATAAACGGATAGTAATCCTATAGTAATCAAAACCACATGGACTAGCATGGAGACAGAGAAATAAATCAGTGGAACAGAGCAGGGGTTCCAGAAATAAAATGTCACATATTGATTCACCTGATCATCACCAAAGCACAAAATCATTTCCTTAGAGAAAAAAAAAATGGTCTTTTAGGTTCATTGTCCTTTTCACACCTGGATATCCAATTTCAATGAAACAGAAAGACACAGTGTCATCTAAATCTTATACCTTGTAAAATAATTTAAACAGACCATAGACCTAAATGTAAAACCTAGGTCTATGGAACTGCTAGAACAACATAAGAAACATTTGTAAGCTTAGATTAGATATGACATCAAAAACATGATTCAAAATATGTAAGATTAGCTGCATCCAAATTAAGGACTTTCTTCAAAAGATATTTATAATTAAGAGGATAAAAAATGGCAAGTGGGGCTGGAGAGATGGCTCAGCAGTTAAGAACACTGATTGTTCTTGCAGAAGACCTGGGTTCGAATCCAGGTACCCACATGGCAGCTAACAATTGTCCATAACTCCAGTTCCAGGTGATCTGACAGTCTCTCCTGTTCTCTGCAGGCACTGCACGACATGGGTGCACTTACCTACATGCAGGTAATACACGCATACACATAAAATAAAAATAATAATAAGTTAAAAAATGCAAGTATAGTCTGAGGAAAAACATTTTGAAAAATGATATGTGTGACAATGACTTTTAAACAGGATATATAAAATATGAGGAAGTATACACTGGATGATACCATTTGTATGAGATTATAGGAAATCTATACTATGTATGGCAACAAAAAAATCCCTATAGTGATAGCCTGGAGTGGGGTCAGAGTAGTGGGGAGGGACTACAAAAAACATTCAAAGTAAAGCATGTACTTATTATTTTAATTTTGTTAATAGCTTACATATATATATATATGACAAAGTTTTCCAATATACTTTAAGCATGAAGTTTGCTTTATGTTTAGTATACCTCAACATCATCTATCCAAAAGAATTAAAGTTTTATAAATGTAAGATAGAAATTGTAATCATAAATAGATATATTAATGAGCTGTGTCTGGGCTAGGCTTAGATCAACTGATTGCACTATTGTTCTGTGTGAACTGTTAATAACTACTTACACATTCAGACTTTGACAAATACTAACAATTGGGGGAGTCATTGTAATTTGGATAATCTGGTATAAAGAGCCAAATATAATACTACGTCTTAATCTGCTCCACTGGTGTTATATTGCTATGATAACTGGAGTTATGGAAGAACAGCCGATGCCCTTAATCAGTGATCCATCCCTTCATCCCCCTGAATGTTATTTTTTACAATACGCTTTAAGACAATTTCCATGCCAATACTTGCACTGCAGTGATGAGGAATATTTCAGGAAATCCCAAGCTTATGCTGTTACAGTAACAATAGCAGAAACAACTTTTGATATTCACACAAATTGCAGTGTCATTTAGACGGCGATGAAGACTTGCCTGCATCAGAACAGCAACTGCACTGTGGGTAGTGGTGAAGACCCTGGTAAGAACATGGAGTATGAAAAGATGAGTCCTCCTGCAGCCCCCACCCCAGGAGGTCACAGGGAGGAAGGACTCTCCAGAGCAGGACTGAGAAGCTCCTGTTCAGCATGCAGACTGAGACCATCAAGACGTGCTTTCATCATGTTTCTATTGTGACAAATTATTATGAACTTAATACTGATTTGTTATTTTAGCGTTCCATAAGTAAGAAATCTGAAATGAGCTACAGGGAGGCAATCTTCCAGGAAACGGCCTGACTTTCCTAGTTTTTAGGGACTATTTATATTCCATGATAGAAAGTGCTCTTGTGTAAATGGGTTTACTCCAATCTCAGTTCCTTCATTCTCTCCTTTTATCTCCCTCTGAGTTTTTGCAGTCCCTCTTTCCC